TATCTTTTGAATCTAATGCTTTATATAGATTTACATCTAAAAGTACCAAAGCAGCCTACAATTGGCCATAAAAAGGTGTCAAAGAAGAATCACTACTTGAAGGTAAGCTTAAAATTTATACTCAGATTAGCCATATTAGATGTTGATTTATATCTTATGAAAAGAGAAATAACAATATACAAGCTACTTGTAGATAACTATTTTTTATCCTGATTACTAATTATTAACTGGAGTTTAGCTTAGGGGCAGTCAGATTGGTAGCTACTCTTTATCATATTTTTGGTTGAACAAAATACTTGATCTTATTTTAATCTTGAATTCATTAGAGCCTGCTTGAAGCTTTAAACATAGAGTTACTTTGATGTATTACAAATATGATATTTTATGCATTGCTTACAAATGTAAAAATTTATGTTTTATGTAGCATAATAATTACTCAAAGTTTTATGTAAGTAAATTTATATAACATGTATAATAATTACTCAAAGTTCTATGCTAGTAAATTTATATAACATGTATAATTTACATCTTGGTTATATCAAATCATTTTTAGGAAGTTGAGAAATGTGAAACTATTTGACATGAAGGGAAACGAAAGGAAAGAAAGGAAGATGGATGATAAAAGGAAAAAGAAAGCCTTGCCAACCTTATTTGATCATATTCTGCTGAATCACTAAGTGAGTGGATGGACATGAGTGATGTTGTTACCAAGCTTTATTAAAGACAAACTTCAGCCATCTCACTTAAATCACGAAGGCCAAACTTTATATGATGTTCAATCAGTAGGTAACAATGCTTTCTTATGCTAAATAAATAATTTGTGTTCTTAACAAAATACTCAATTATTACATAACTTAAGGCATATTAATTTCTACTACTTTTCATATAAATATTATGTTCAAATGTTTTGAACAATTAAATTGCTTTTAGTTTAGAGATTTATTTATATTTTCATATGTTACAGATATCTAAGGTGCATATTAATGAACATAAAAAGCTTAGGTTAGGCAAAGTGTTGCTCTATTTTGTTCACATTTTGTTGGTATTTATATGAATCTTAATTTCTCCTAAAAGCTTTTTGATTAGATAAAAAATAAATATAAAAGTATTCCTACCAATAATATAACAAAAAATAAAATAAATTAAGAGATTTTTTTATGAATTTTTTCTTGATTTTACTTTTTTTTTAATTTTTTTTCTCTTTGGTTAAATGCTTAGAAGTAGTATGAAGCTATCCATTCATAGCTTTAGATTCTCACATTTTGAAGTATTGGTATGGTGGCTTTAAAAATACCTAAGCTGTCCATACATCTATGCATTTATTTAATATTAAAATTGATTTGAAGTATTTAATGATATGGCATTAATTGAACATGTGTGATGTGATTCATTCATAGGTATTTTAGTGTCATCATGTAAGCAATAAATTAAAGTTTAATCATTATGATTAACAACACATTAGCTCTAACTTGAGTCAACTATTGTTTAATTATTACAATATCAACTTTTTCAATTTACTTGGACTCTTCATAGAACAAAGAGAAGAAAAAAATATAGGCAATGGAAACTAGTAAGTTTGTTGTCTATGGAACTAAAATGGGCTTATGTTGATCTATGGACAATAAAATTTTTTGTCTATTAATTATTTTATACTAAACCTAGAATTTAGCTACGAAAATGAGAAGAAATCTTAATGAAAAGAAATCTTACTTGAAAGTTGTCTAAATGAACTTTACATTTTTTACAAAACAGCATCACTATTCAAATTGATAATTAAAGGCCAAAGAGTTTGACTTCTTTTGTAAGAAATATAGGGCTATATATGTCACAAATGAGATTGTGACTTATAATTGTTTATAGGTAGTTTGTTATAAAGATACATTCTTACACCATTTGTTTTAAGCAAGTGTTGTATGTGAAACTGAAAATTTTTGTCTTGTTCATAAGAGGGATGTCAACGGTTAAATTTGACACCATTGTTAGAGTATCCCATTGTTAGCCAAGACTGATCAAGAAAAAAATAGAGAAAAAAAAGAAATTTTTTCTCATTTTTTCCATATATTGTGTATGTTATTATGCCTCATCATAACTTTTTACTCTTTTACAATTTCAATTAATTTTGCCTTTGCCCTATCATAGGAGCACTAAAATTTAATATTTGTTTTAAATATGTTACCATTCATAGGAGCTACATTAACTAAACCACTTTACTCATTTTGCAACATTGCTTCTAATTTTTCTCACCATATTTGGCCTTTTACAACAAACTAATCCTCCATGATATAAGTAGTTTGCTTTAAATTGTTCTAGGTATCAAATAAATGCTTCATCTCATGGTAATTACGTATTATTATTCTTTTCTTCATTTATATTTTCATCTTTTTCAATTTGCATTCCTATATGTTATTGGCTATAGGTTTGTTCATTGAAATATATGTTGGTGTTGAATTTTTTAGTCTTTTTGTATATTTTAATTTTATTCTTGCTTAGTCACTTATCATATATATTTGAAACTTTATTTTGTTTGTTTCATATTTTAATCTTATAGTTGATCTTTTTGATTACTTTGTTTTCACATCCTTGATTCATTGTTGTATCTTAGTGATCTAAGGGAAAATAAAAATTTATTTTTAATAAGTGAATGACATGCAATCGCACTCTTAGAAACCTATCTTCTATTGGCTATAGTGGCATGGTAGTTTGATCAATGAGGTTAATTGATATAAAATATAATTTGTCTAGAATTAATGATTGTATATGTTTCATTAATATTCTTATTGTGGCATTTAAATTACTAAGTGATCAAGGGTTACGAATTAGAGCATTATTTATTTATGTCTTTCTCTTATTTATAAATTTTCTATTGTTTAAGTTTTTTTTACTTTGAATAGTTCTATTGTTTAAGTTTTGTTTAAACAAAGGTTGAATTAGGGTTAAATACATGTTATTAAGGATTTCAAATCAACCTTTTACTTTTTCATACGTTGTTTCCTAGATTGATTGTCGGTTTCTAATAATTCCTTGACCAAATGCTAGAAATTGAAATTCTTTTTTCAAGTTTACTCTTTCTTTAATAATTGTGAGTAATAAATGGTCAAAAGGGGAATTGAGGCCTTATAATGCCCTATCTTAGCAATTAAGAGAGATTTTGTAAAGAAAGATTGATTGGAGTTTAAAAATGAGAGCTTTAGGATCCTTATTTAATATTGAGAACTTAACAAAAAGTTTGACATATGGCTATTTGAATACATTGATTATGTAACTTAATCCTTTTTGAATGAAAAAGCTTACTAAGTTATTTAAAACTTGGACATAGTTATTAGGTTTTTAATATTTTTGGCATTAATATATAGATTCTTTGGTATGAAACACTGTAATGCTTATAGCTAAATTGATTTGAACAAAAACTTTAAATCTTTTTTGTTTTTCAACACAACATTTTATTTAGCTTTATGTTATGTTTTTAGTTAAATTTCATTGATAAGCTAATGTCTGAATCAATTTTGATTATTAATTTTTTTTAACTTATCAGGCCGAGATTGATTTAGTGCTTTAACTATAGGTTTTGTTTTGATTTCTTCTAATCAATGTTGGTGCTTTTTTGTAACAATAAGTCTATTGTTTCATGGTTTTTATTATTTAAAGTTTGTTGCTCTTCTTTCTTTTGTATGTTGCATTTCTAATTACTTTTGTCGGATTTAATTGATCAACTATAAAGAAAGGCAAAATCACTTATTATGGCTAGCATAATTTATTGTTAGTGTTTTCTTTGTTGTGTACTTGAATGATCATATGTACATTTTAACTTTTGATTTAAAAAATGACAGCGTTTTTGCCAAAAGGTAAGCTTATTTTCTTTTAATTTAAACTTTTATGCTTATTTTCTTTTTGAGTATCTTTATTCATTTTTATATATTTGTAGATTTACTATTGGTCGATGCATTTTAAGTTTTTTTTTTTTTGTTTAATTAATGAGTTCATTTTTAAATTTTTATCTTTTAAATTATGAAATTACTATAACACAATGACTTTTATTAGTACATATGCATAGTTTGTAGCCTTGATATCAAAATTAAAATGAATTTAGCTTAAACTTCATCTTTGCTTAATTTAATTGAAGATAGATTAAATTATGAACAAAGCAATGTGATTTATTCTTAATAGGTTTTACCTATCATTTATTCTTAATAGGTTTTATTTTTTTTATTTCATAGGCTGAAGTTACTAAATAAAGTGAAAAAAATACTTGCATATGATTTTTTTTTTATGATATAAGACTTGATTTTAAATTTTTTTTCTTACCTTTATTTTCTTTCACGCTTAATAGTATTTTTACTATTATGTTTGATAAGATTTTATTTGATGATATAATTTATCTTGCAAGTTATTTAGTTATTATCTTAAGCTGCCTACTCACATGTTTTAAAAAACTCTCAAATGAAGAGTACAAAGAAAATTATTATTTTATAAAAATCCTTTTGAGCAAAAATTTTTTATTTAAATTTAAAATAATGAAAAAAAAAAAGAAAAAATGGCACCACAGTTAAAACGTATCTAACAATTCCATTTTTCTAAATTCCCCATTATTTCCTTGCCATATTCTCCTTTTGCCAGTAAATTATTTCCTTTTTAAATTTTTGGTAAGAAACTGTTTTCTAAGAATTATTATTTATCCTCAAATTATGTAACAAAATCCCTTTTCAAGATGTAATGAATTTTAAAATATTTTAAAAGTTTTTTTTTTTAGCATAAATATCAGTTTGTTTTATACATGTATAAATTTTTACAGATTAAGAAATTAATATATATTTTAATTAATTTTTTATTTTTAATATATTTTTTAAAATGTCATACTTGTAGTAAAGCTCAAAAATTTTATCGACAAAAATAATTTTTTTTTTATATATTATCCGCACAAATAACAATAAATAATAAATAAACAGTAAATAATGTAATGATAATTTTTTTACTATGCTAAAACCTAAAAGGTGAAAAGAGTGAAAAATGTTTTTTTCTTGCAATCGAAGCTATCTTTTTTCTTCAACTTCAATAAAAACCCATCTTTGATTCTCCGTTTCATTTCTTCAACTCATCCGCCACCCAAGAAAAGACCCTGTTTTCCCTTTCCAAAAAATATAGCTATGGGTAGTGAAAGTACTTTAGCTATCGTTCCAGGAACAACTACGGCGGCGCCGGCGGTGAAGACTGGAGGTTCAGCGACGTCTTTAGCACCTGGATTTCGATTCCATCCAACAGACGAAGAGTTGGTTAGCTATTATTTGAAAAGACAGGTTTCCAACAAGCCTGTTAGGTTTAATGCTATTGCTGAAGTGGATATGTACAAGCATGAACCTTGGGACCTTTCAGGTTGAATTTTTTTGGATTTTTTAATTTTTATTTTGCATTTCTATATATTTTTCTGTGTTTTAGATAAGTTAGATGAAATCTGCTGAAATTTAAGAGGTTTTCTTCACTTCTATTTTCTGTTTTGGTAAAGTTGAGTTGTTTTTTTTTTTTAATGGTTTTGAGCTGAAAATTTGAGAGATTAGTGAAATAGTTGGTTTTTGTTTTCCCTAAGCTATATAGTGTATGTGGATTTCTATTTCCTTTTATTTTTTTTTTTCCCTCTTTTGGGGTTGTTTGTGAGAACTAGGATATCATTGTTACACTGTTCTGCTCGGTTGTAATGGGTGCTTTTTAGTTCATTTTGAGCTATGTTGCTAAAGTGTCTTCTTGCTGGTTGTTTTTAGACAAGTCAAGACTGAAAACCAGAGACCAGGAGTGGTATTTTTTTAGTTTATTGGACAAGAAGTATGGGAATGGGGCAAGATTGAATAGGGCCACAAACCATGGGTACTGGAAGGCCACAGGGAAGGACCGAGAGGTCCGCCACAATTTGCAGCTTATTGGGATGAAGAAGACGTTAGTCTTTCATAATGGGAGAGCTCCAGAAGGGTTGCGAACCAATTGGGTTATGCATGAGTACCGACTAGTTGAAGAAGAATTGGAAAAAATTGGGGCATTGCAGGTTTGACACCATTTAAATTGGTCTGGATGGTGATGTTGATATGTTATGTATGGTTGCGAGTATTGATGTTATTTTTACACTTATGCATATTAAATATTGCACCACATTTCTGCTGTATTTTGGATGACAAGTAGATATAGGATTTTAATGTGAAATACTTAGTACATTGTGCCGTAGGTTGGCGGATGATTCTGCAATGGTCTGATTATACTGAAGAACTGACATACATGAGACACAATTTTCTGTTTGAAAAAATTGAGATATGATGAGAAAATATGAGTTTGAATTGTTTGTATGTCTGCTGCTTTGGTTTCATCACAATCTGGTTGCTGAGAAATTTTAGAAAATGAATAGTAAATGTGATTCCTGTTGTCACCTGTTTTGATGTTTTTATTTGATATGGTGAATAATGCATGTGCACCTAGCTTAAGTAGAATTCAGACTTTATTCTGTAGGGCTATTAGTATTTTGAAACCTTATGTACAATTGGAAACTGATCTTATAAGAATTGTTTCTTTCTTTTTTTTTTTTTTTCTCTCTTTTTGGTTGATTAGGCATATGTGCTGTGTAGAGTATTTCATAAGAACAATATAGGACCACCAAATGGAAACCGATATGCACCTTTCATTGAGGCAGAATGGGATGATTGTTCGGCAGCTGTGGTTCCGGGAGTAGATGCTGGGGATGATGTTGTAGCTGGTAATGATGTGATAGCCAGCGATGATATGGTAGCTGCTGAGAATGCAGTGATTGAAACCAATGTTGTTCAAAGGATTGGTTTGGAGCAGGTTTGTGCTTTATATTTCTTGCTACTGCATTTTTGTAAAATTGAACTTTATTATAGGTGCTCATAATCTTCACAGTGTTGAACTTTCCTGCCTCACTTTGATGACTTCACATGGTTTAAAGTATTATATAACAATTTCACCAACTTATTATGGCCAGCATAATGTGTTGGCCTGCAAGTGATTCATCAGGGAAAGATAAGCATCTATAATGGTTTAATCAAGATAATTAAACATGCATCTGAAGAACTTTCTTTTCTTTTCTTATAACTCCCCCTGAAAAATTTTGGTCATTTTGGGTAATTTATTATTTTTAAGTGTTCCTTTTGTCTATGTTAGATGATATGGGCCCATACAAACCGTTATGTATTTGCAACTAATCAAAAAGAATAGTGAACTTCTGTGCTTCTGTGTACTGACATAATTGAATAATTCTTCACTTATTTGACCTTTTCATTAAATGGAAGATTCCATGCCTAAGAACTGTTTCATTTATCCCTTTATTTGTCTTAAAAGATTCTTCTATGATGGCAAATACTATTGTGAGATATCCTGCTAAGCTCTCACTTACAACAATAGTTTTATAAATGCACTTAATAGGGTATCCTTGTCTGAGAGGAACTATCAATAAATTGATATTATAGAATACTTTTGAGGTTGAATTTGCCTAGGACATTTGGTGATGTGCTCTTTTTCTTGGTGCTTTTGGGGAGATATTGGAGTTGCCAAGCTATCCTTGTGACTAGTACAGGTGGGATGCAATACTAGGCACAAGGTAGCCATTGGGATTGCATTAGTTTCTTCCTTTTCAAGAATTGTTACAGCATCCATCTGCACTCCTATGTTAGAGAACCTTTTTAGTTTTGATAGACATAAGGTTGATATAGTATCATGGGCTGGGGATGACTTGGGGCCTGATGATTGTATCAGTTAAGTAGTTGAAATAGTACAGTCTCAGCAGTTCTTTCTCTTCATTTTCATTTTATTAATGCATAACTTTCCTCCAGCCGGAGGGATAACATTTGATTCCCTTCTGGAATATCAACAAAGCTCAACACTTTTCTGGTTCTCTTAATTTTGAAAAAAAGAGTGAAGCATGTGAAGTTCATAGAGGCTCAACCAATGATACTTGTGGTGGATGCCTTGGTCTGGACATCCGTGATATGAACTGTTTTTTTTTGGGGGGCGGAGTGGAGTGGGGCACTTGTGATTACAATAATCTTAAGAGGACAAGGCACTTGTCAATATTTACAGCACCTGGTCCTGGTGAGACAGTTAAGGTTTTGTTTATATGCTGTCATGTTGTCAGTTATGGCTTAAAGAAGGTAAAAGATCTGATATGTTACCTTCAGTTTGGTTGTTCTTTTTTTCTAATAAGAAAATTGTCTGGTTGATTACGTAGTGGTTGGGAAAGTGTGTGTTAAACCTGTTCCAATAAATTTAGAGCATGCACTGCAATTATTGTATTGGATTACTCATCTTGCTTTTTGGCACTTACAAATGTGGGTCTTGCTAAATTTCCTGAAATAGATGAAGATTAATATGAATTAGCTGGAAATCCTCTGGCTATGATGTGAGCATTACCTAGCTGGCCTTATTCTGTTCTGTAGATAGTCTCTTCAAATTATAGGCTGTATTATCTTCACTGACAAGCTCATGGAGCATAAAAATGTCAAAGTGTTACTTCATGTGCTGGCTAATACAACAATATAATTTCCTTGTGTGTCTTTAGTAATAAGGTTTCTGGATTCACTTTGTTAGAATTGATTACCAAACTGATATCATGAGCATTTAGCTCTCAAACTCAGAGTCTCACAATTCTTAACTCACAAGGGAAATGGAGTTCACTTGTACCAACTCTGAAAACTATTCACATCAAGGAAGTCTAGGCATTTTACTTTCTTATTAAGCAAATTGTATTGTTATTCTTTTGAGTAAACTTACAGAAGACCACAGTCAGATCAGTTGTTTGGACCCAAATAGCTAGTGAATTTTAAGTGTTATGTAGGGTAGTCTTTGCGTGTTTTGATTTTAGAAAGATGCATGTGCATGATTTTCACTTTAGCTATGATGAGGCTACCCCTTTACTGTCTTGTTCCTTGGACAAGGCAGAGTAGACTCCCTATATTAAATGTTGTCCTGAAATTCCTATAGAGTGATGGTATGTTGCTGTGAATCTTGACGATAATGGTGAAATTTGGGTTGTTTAAACTGAATTGATTTTGTTCTGCATCTCTTCATGGGTCTTGTTTGCACTTTTTTTTTTCTTTTTCGTTTTCCTTTTCAGGTTAAAATGGTAAATGGTATGATGCTGTGAATCTTGACGATAATGGTGAAATTTGGGTTGTTTAAACTGAATTGATTTTGTTCTGCATCTCTTCATGTGTCTTGTTTGCACTTTTTTTTTCTTTTCGTTTTCTTTTCAGGTTAAAATGGTAAATGTTGTTTGCTTGTGAATTCAATTTTATTTTTATTTCATTTATTTTATGGAATGGGCTTATTTCAAACACAAGTAACAACAGCATACAATGCCCTCAAGAATTGATAAAATTCTTTCCTTATCCTTTTGTAGAGGTGTCTTTCATAGAAATGACTGCAGTAAATCTGTAGTTCATTTTCTATTAATGATAGATACTTCATATTCCAGTTTTGAAGATGGACATAACAGTTTTGTATTTGATTGTTAATTTTTCTATGATCATCACTGATATGTTTTTGTTTCTCCTAGTACTGAAGATGTATGCGAGGTTTTATATGCATTAAGATGAGGTTTTATTTGCAATGAAATGTAAAATTCAAACTATAATGGTGCAACAACTATATATAGTTAGACAATGTTATTGTTTTAGTTGTCATCTCTACCTAAGGTTTAATGCCACTGACTTTTTTTTTTATATGCCAAGGAGGCCGTAGGCTGAGAATAGGGAAAGGGGGATTTGAACTCCAAATCTACTGGATGACACCTCTTTAGGGTAGCTGCATGAACCAACTGAGCTAAGCTTCGGGTTTTAACTTTCATTTTACCTTTTTCTTTCCTCTTTATATGTTGGAAAATACTGTTATATTAACCAAATGTCATGTGCCTCCTTGTATTCTTAAGCCTTGATTGAAGAATTGCTTTTGAAGTCTCTTTTACAATGGCAGGACATTCAAAATGCTGATGAGGATGCTCCACCTAATGATGAAGTTCCGGGAGAGTCGCCAAATGAGAGGACATATCCTTTGTTACTGCCATGCAAGATTGAGAGATCAGATGATTGCCCTCCACTTTGTGTGCTTAATAGAGAAGCACCCTTACCTCTACTCCAGTATAAGAGAAGGCGGCCTAATGATTTGGGTTTCAACCTTGCAAATGTTTCTGAGAATTCTACTAGAACAACTCAGGATCATTGTTCATCTACAACAACAACAGCAGCGACAACCACAACATCACCATCGTCGGCAACAACAACAGCAATTTCTGCACTCTTGGAATTTTCTTTAATGGAATCTATAGAGCCCAAAGAGAAGCCTCATGTTCCTATGCCCACATATGGTACCGCCAATCTAGATTCAGCGGTGCCTCCTAACTGCATGAAACTTATCAATGAATTGCAGAATGAGATCCACAAGATTTCTGTTGAGAGGGACACATTGAAGCTTGAAATGATGAGTGCTCAAGCTATGATTAACATTCTCCAGTCAAGAATAGACTTCCTTAGCAAGGAAAATGAGGATCTAAAGAAGAGCAACCGGGATGCATAGCATGGGGAGGCCAGGTACTTTTCTGGTTTCCTCATTTCCTTATTGTTGCCTTTATTCATGTATGAATTGTTGTTCGCCAGAACGATTGTAGAATTCGGATGGCAGTAGCATTTGGTTTGTTGATGAACAATGTTGTAGCTTTCCTCCTAAATTAAGCCCTAGTTGATGATACATTTTAAATCTACCCTAATTTTCCCTTCTCAAACAAATAAAGAACGATGATCTCATTTTTATAAGCTAAATTTCATGATCATGATTTCAACTGTTATTTAGTTTCCTAGAACTCAAACCTCTAAACTCCCATGGGAGTTGAAACTATAGGTTTTTTTTTTTTTTAGTGATAAGGGGTTTTTAGCTTTATTTCAGTACATTCATTTCCCGGACCAGTTTAAGTAGATTTATTTACATTGATTTTAGCAAATTTTTGAGAAATTACTTTTCACAATTTCTTTAAGTAGATTTATTTACGTCGATAATAGCAAATTCTTGAGAAATTACTTTTCACAGTTTCTTAATAGATTTAGATTCAAGCAACCAAGAGAGAAACACATTTTTCAAGCAACAAAGAGAGTAGCAAATTCTTTTGCCACTTGAGCCAAACATCTGTTAGTAAGAATAATTATGAATTAATGTTTTAAAGAGATTTGTAATAAGAATATAGCTGAGAGAGATGATGGAAGAAACTAATGACAAGTATCATAACAAAGTTAATTTTATATTTATATATATTTCTCATTTGATACGTCTTCTAAGTAATTTTCTTTCATTTTATAAGTCCCTCTTGTCTTCATTGGGTATCAGAGATGAGGTTTTCGAGTTGAAATTCTTTTTCTAAAAATTGAGGGCTTAATAGCAAAATTTTCCTTTCCTGGAAAATTCACTGCAAAATTAACTATACCTACTGCTACAATATTACTTTTGCAAGTGCCCAAAGAAGTAAAAATTACTGTAAGATTATTGCATGAATATGAAATTCAAACAAACAGTCGTCTGGTTCTTAATTATTCTTTGTTTGGATGCCGAGGGCTGAGGCAAATGGTTTTGAGAAATGCCAATAGCTGTTCCAAATAAACCCAATGAAACCCAAACCAAGAAAAGGATAAAATCCTTCATAAATCATTATGATGGTCAATGGCTAATTTTTAATCTGGTCCAGACAAAGATTAATGACTCACAAAGTGGACAATACCACTTATGCAACCAGATCTTGCATGGAGAGGTTAATGACTCACAAAGTAGACAATATCACTTGTTACATGGATTTTTTTTTCTGCCTCCTAAGGGTCTATTTGGTTTTCACCGTAGGCTTTGTGGGCTAAATGTTTTGGGATACATTTGGATAGCATCATATGGTGCAGTTGCCCCCAATCACCCTCCATTCTATGACTAGATACCGTTCAGTGAACAACTAGATCCTACGACAGTCAATTGCCTCCGGACTTTAGGACAGTCGATTGACTGTGAAAAAAATAATAATAAAAAAAAATTACCACCATGGTAGAATCTGCATTCAAACACAGATATCCACTACTAGTTTTAATATTATTGCTATAGTTTTAACTTCACTTAATCTCATTACCACTGTTAGCTTTAATCTTATCGGAGAATAGATTCTGAATCATTCAACCACATTAGTCATAGCCAATGATCCTTTCCTTTCTCCAATCTCATCTATCAACAACAATCTTGTGGTTTTTCAGTTCTAGCTTCTTGGTTCTATCTCCGGCAATGTTGTGATTTCTCAGTTCTAGCTTCTTGGACCCAGTCTCCGCCTGCTTGTCGCTCGGCATACCACTAAAACTTCTCCTCTACTACATACTCTTCCCTGTGCAGCATGATCCTCAACTTCCAATGTTCTTGGACTCTTACAATGATCCTTGTTCAAAATTGACAAATACATAAACACAAAATTTTAATCATAAACAGGTTCAGTTCAATTTCAGCCCTAACATTCCATTAGGGACAAAGTGCACCACAAGCATTGGATTGGACCTCTATAATAGAAAAGTAAGAAACTGCAGCATTTTATAATTAATAATTCTATAGTTCTAATAATCCAAACAAACTACATGTATATTAGAAAAGTTTTTAAGGCATAAACAAAGACCAAGAGTGCTTATTGTTATTAAAACTACAGGGTCAAAAGATAACAACCGGTAATTTTGTATTAAACCATTTTCACCATTCCGCTAACTTAAAATGGAAGTAAAATTCCAGAAACATGAAATTTTTTCATCTTTGTCCTAGATGCCTTGCATCTCCTACTCTTCACAAAAGACTGTCCAACCAGGTTACTCCCTGCCCCTCTTGGAGCCACTCTTTCTGGACCTCTCTTTCCCTCGTTTGCCAGCGGAACTGCCTCCAGAAGAGACTTGGGCAGCGTTGGCAGGGTGAACAGGCACATGATGCCCAGGAACCAAAGCAGGGAACCCAACAGCAGGGATTCTACAAAGCAAAAAAGATGAAAACTGCTCTCCAGGCAAAAAAGAAAAAACCATCATAATAACGACACCATCCTAATAAGTAACAAGAATGCAAAAAGCATCAAGTTTCTCAAGGCCAGTGAAGATTATTAAAGCTTTAATCTTTATCAGATGATAAGCATATTAAGCCACAAAACAGCCCTCCTCTCGAAATCTGTACTTCTCCACTAACATTTTTATGTGAGTAGGAAAAAGAACTTCAAAGTTAAAAACAAAACCAATAGTGTACATTTCTCATTAACTATGCTAGTACTCTTTTTAATTTAGTTTCAGTTTGTTGATTGGTAATGCAAAAAATCGAAATGAATCGAACCTATGACTTAGTTGGCGTTCAAATCCCAACATATGCAATCTCTTTCCCTATCTCTAGGCTGCAGCCTCTTTTTTTGTGTTAAAAAAAAAAAAAAGAATCTTCACTAAGCCAATCCCATTATGATTTCGGACTAGAAGAACTAAAAGTCAAAAAACACACTTGGAAAGACCGAAACTAGGATCTATTTTTCAAGAAGACTGCTTTCCTACAATTGTAATATAAACAGAAGACAATGGAAGCAAGGAGAGATGGTTTAGTGAATCATAGCATACCCAACAAGAGCACAGCAGACTCCTGCTTGGCTGAGGATGCATCAAATGCACAACCCTTATGCAAAGTAAGACGAAGAGCTTGATTCTCTGCAATGAAGCACTGAAGCATGCGGTTGAGTCTCCTATATTCCCCTTCTAAATACCTACTCTTGATCTCAAGATCCTTGACATACATCTTCTTCCTCTCCCTTGACCTCGCAGATGCATCTCTGTTTCTCAACTGCCTAAAAAAATTCAGATCAATCAATTAAAGTAAAACCATTTTATTATATTCAAACTAGACATGCAGAAAATAAATTTAAAATAAAATACAATTTAGCTCTCCATTAATGTCCCCAACGTTCCTGAATTATAATGAAATATTTAATATGATTTTAAAATTTTTTAATGTGTTACTTAACCTATAAATTTGTTAACTAACGTGATATTCACCCACACCTGAGCCCTTCAAGTATCGCATCAATTAATAGATTCATAGTTGGAGTATCTGATTTTTAAAGTTCAACTATAGTTCAAAGTCTATTCTTAACATTATCTCTTTCCCATTCAATCACAATAAAGGAATGCCAGAAACCATATCAAGAGGAAAAAAAAACCTAAAAAAAACAACAGTGAAAGATAATAAATTGGGAATATCCATTTATACCTCATCTGTTTCTTAGCAGTGGGATCATCGTTATCGATTTTGATGTGGATCTGGTTTTGTTTGTTGAAAGCAGCATCATCGATGGCCTCACCGCTGCCACTAGGAGGTGAGTCAACCAGCAAATCTGCCAAAAATTCATAAGAGACAGGTTGGGTCTCAACCCCATCATCAAAATGATCATCCTCCATCAAAACCTTCTCGATCTCCCCGATCCACGAAGACACAACCGGTTCTTCATCTGGATTTTGGGTGGACAATGGTTGAGGAGGCGATTGTGTTACCGATTCTGGTTCTTTTTCTAAGATATTTCCTAAATCAGGAAAGTCAACCTCAAGCAACAGGCTATCCCGATTGATTTCCTCCATGATTAAGTTGAAATTTATTAGTATTTACAGAGGAAGAAAAAGAAGAGACAAATCACATGCCTAAGTTTGAAATGAAATTGAATCAATCAGGTGAGAAAACAAACTCCTGCTACTACTAAATTCTATTTCCTATGAGATAAAGAAACATCTGAGTCATTCGCTTCAGTTTTCTAGGACTGATAACTGAATATTTATGTATATAAATTAAAAAAAAAAAGAAACAGAATAATTAAAAATTGATTCGTATTTATTTTTATATATTTTCTTCAAATGAATTAATTACTATAAATAAAATATTTATACACTGATAGGCCAAAACTAGGCTTGACTTTTGAAATTGTCAGCCTGGAGACGCCCGGCCCGAACTCAACCCGCGCCCGCCCACATAAATTTCCTCCTAAGTCGAATCTGAAACGGCATCGTTTGCTAAAGAGGGTGTTTTGAAGTATCAATTTTATCAATATTTAATATGAAATTTAATTTTTTATTTGAATAAAAATAAGAATGAGTATTATATTATAGATATAAGAATAAAAATGAGAATAAGTATAATTTTAAATTTTTATTAAATATAAAAATAAAACATGTAATATAACATTTGCTTTGTACCTATATCTTACATATATTTATATATATTTGATAAATAATTTTTTTATTAAATAATATAAATTATTATTTTAGATTAATTAAAATTAATTTATTTTTATTAAAAATATATATAGTAATATATATTTATTAAAAATTTTAAATATATAAAATAAAATAAAATATAAATTTTTATTTTTTAAAAAATTATGAATATGAAGATTATTCATATTCATTAAGTATTCATAAAAATTAAAATATGAATACATTTAAAATATATATTAAATATAAATATGAAGATAATATAATATAAAAATCTGAAAATAAAAATAAAAATACACTAAACTTCTTATAACTTACCCATTTACACTTTTAAGTGTGTTAATGTCTTCTTAAATTACATATATAACCGACACAAATATTATCCTTTTTTTTTTTTCTCTTCCCTTTCGCGCAGCCTCTCAACCCTCAACAAAGCACCAAAATATTTGTTCAGTAAGCATTTAATTATTTAAGTTTTAACAAAATCTCAAATTATTTCCATGCTTCTTGATGTAATATAGTCAAACCAAAATTGTACCATATGAGAAATTCAAATTCAACTCAAAATTTGTTATTCAAAATTTAGATTGAAATCAATGGAGCTTTAATTTTTAATTTTAATTTGAGATATAAATTAATTTACTCAAGCTCAATTAAGTTTTTTATTAAATAAAAAAATTTTTATTTTGATGCTTAATTTCAAGTTTGATTTTTTTTTAATTCAAATTATTTTTATATACAAATATTTTGTATCCAATAAAATCAAGTAAAATATGATATTTTTCAAATAATAAATTCATTGAGGGGATTATATTTTTTGGATTATACAAACGAGTACTCGAGCCTAAAATCACTTGTCAAATGAACCAATTATAGTAAGTCAACTTTTTTTTTCCATTTTTTTTTAGTTTAGTTTATTTGTTTGCCTTGATTTTTCACTCTTTGACTATTCAAGATTGATTCAAAAACTTGATATTTCTTTTATATCCTAAATTTTTATTTATTTAATTTTTAATAAAATCTCGAATTATTTCTATGCTTCTTGGTGTAAGATATCAAACCGAATAAATACAATAAAAAACTGGACTTTCATTCAAAATTTATCACTTAAAATTTGAATCAAAGTCAATGACGTTTTAATTTTTAATATAAATAAATTTATTTGAGTTCGTTTAAATTTTTTTATTATGTAAAAAATTTTAATTTTGTGTTTGATTTTAAATTTTATTACTTATGTTTGAATATAAATTGAAAATTTTTATAAACAAATATTTTGTATTTATAAAAATTTAATAAATATAATATTTTTTAAATAAAAATTTATTGAAGGGATTATAGTTTTTTATTATACAAACGAATGCGTGAACGTAAAGTAACTTGTCAAATGACCCAACTGTTGAAGTCAACTTTTTTTTTCTTTTTTTTACTTTGGTTTATTTGTTTGACTTGCTTTTTTATAAATATAAAAATTCCTATATTTATATTATATAGAATATTAAAATTTATATATTTATATTATATTTTACATAAAAATAATATATTATAATTTATATTAATATAAAAATAAAATATATTTTTTAATTTATTAAATTCATATATATTTATTATTAAATTTTTAAATAATATTATTTTTATATCTTATTATTTATTTTATTTTTAATTATCAAATCCTGATTGGTTAAAAATTTGATATTGCTATTATTACTTTTACATGATTGGAAAGTAAAATTACGTGAATCTCAAAGAAAGACGGGTGTAAGCAATGACGTCGGCGGAAAGAGACATGTCGTTTATGGCAAGCAGAAAAACAGGATAAGAAATTATACATTTCCTAATAAAACAATTTAAGGAGTATTTATGAACTTAGAACAAAAAATATTTGCAAATCTGCAAACCTTGGAACCCACGCAAATATGTTATGGCCATAAAAACAAAAGTAAAAGAAAAAAAAAAGTCTCCTAGAAACCAAGACAACGTTTTGTACGAACCTATCATTAAAAAGTAAAATACTTTTAATTATATTATAAATAATAATTATAATAATTAATTTTATAAACAAAATTAAAAAATTATTAATTAATTATTTTAATATAATCTTATTAATTTCGTTTATAAAATAAAATTTACAAATATATTTAGATATAATTAAAATATTATCATATGTATTATTATTATTTATTTTTACTTTTGACCGAAAGTAGGTCCGTTAAACAAAATCTACTCAGATAGATTCGGTTTAGATTCATAAAATCTTGTACAGCTGTCAGGATTATGCCCTCTTGAACTCAACAGCCGCCTCCAAGGACACATCCGCCATTTCATGAACTCTTACACCTTTTGACGGATGCATCTACGACAATACCCATCAATCTAAGCAACCAAAAACAATATATATATCTAGAACCTTCCACATTTCACGCGCAACAAACTGCGTCACGCGCCGTTCCACTTGCCATTTACCTACCACAGCAATCCACGTGTCACTCCATCAACCTCGGTGACACGGGCTGTATCCCCGTTTGCGTACCGTTATCATCAGCTCGCCCACTATTTCCTTTAATATCAGTTCTCCGGCTGCAAACTTCTCTACTCTTATTTTTCACCATTGCAGCTTCTTTATTTTTCACCATGGCAGCTTCTCACTCCTTTCCATCTACCACCGTCTAACGCCCAAAAACAAGCCTGACACTAATTTCTGTTAATCTCGAATTCTTCAATACTTTGATTTTTTTTCTATTCTTGGTGAATCGATGAGTCGTGACTCAGCTACCTCTCTAGCTCCTGGGTTCCGGTTCCACCCGACCGATGAGGAACTTGTTCGTTACTATCTAAAACGCAAAGTCTTGAACAAGCCTTCCTTTGATGCGATCTCTGTTATCGATATCTATAGATCCGAGCCTTGGGATCTCCCTGGTAATTTTTTCACTTTTAATTTTTGTTTGGCTTGGTCAATTGTTTGTTCGATTCTTGAATTTTAGGTTAACTTTTTAGTTTTGTCCTAAATTTTAAGTTTTGAAATTAAGTTTTCGCTTTTGGTTTATTTTATGTTATTTCATGGGTTTTAGGGTTAATTTCAGTTTTGTGCTTGGGGTTTGATTCGTGAAGATTTCCGATTAGAGCTTAAGCTTCTTTTAAGGCTTTTCATTTCAATTTTTTTAAATTGGAATGTTATTACTTGGTCAATTACATATTTAAATCCCTAATTGTCTATTAAAATTTCAAATTTCCAATTTAAAGATATCCACTTCAAGGTTTTTTTCTTTTTTAATTCTTGAAATTATGCTTTCGTACTTTCTGTTTTAGTTTATTTTTGAAGATACCTACTTTGATTTTATAAGTTAGTCTTTTATATGCATCTAGATTTTAGGGTGAGTTTTTCTTTTTTTTTTTGTAAATCAAAATGTTCTTTTTAATAGATAAGTCAAAGCTGAAGAGCAGGGACTTGGAGTGGTACTTCTTCAGTGCACTGGATAAGAAATATGGGAATGGGTGGAGAACCAATAGGGCAACTGAGAGAGGCTACTGGAAGACAACTGGCAAGGACCGTCCAATTCGCTACAAGGAAAGGGTGGTTGGCATGAAGAAAACCCTTGTTTATCATGAGGGCCGTGCCCCACGTGGTGAAAGGACTAACTGGGTAATGCACGAGTACCGCCTTACTGATGAGGCATTGGAGAAAGCTGGAATTCAACAGGTAAGATTATGATCTTTGTTGTAGCGTTTTGGTTTTTTGAACTTTGATGTTTGTTTGGGAATTAACATTGGTTTCTTGGGGCTGCTAGGATGCTTTTGTATTGTGTAGGGTGTTTCAGAAGAGCGGATCTGGCCCAAAGAATGGGGAGCAGTATGGGGCACCCTTTATTGAAGAGGAATGGGAAGATGACGAGGCAGTTTTTGTGCCTGGTCAACTTGCTGCTGCAGTCTATGAAGAGGTTGCCAATGATGATACTTTTGTTGAAGTGAATGATATTGATCAGGTGTGTAATGTTTTCGGGCTAGTTTTGTGGTTGTTATGTATTGAAATTTGAATGATTTTTTATATGATAGCTTTCAATTTAGATTGAGAATGGTAATAACTAGTTACAGTTTGTAGGATTTTAATAGATGTGGTATAAGCTAGTAAATATTCCTAGGAAGTTATTTAGCTCTCTGCATCTTGTTGTTTCTTGTTGAAAAGAAACTTGCACACTGCACTTGTTCTCTTAGCTGTCCTGGTGAATTCTTTTCTGATAATCTCAAATCTTTCTGATCTTTGTTGAATGACAAGCGATTTTCAAAAAAGTAGCACTTAGTTTGTGCTGGAATGAGGTGCATATGTTGTGTCTGTGTCTATAGAGTTGGGTTGAAGAGTGTCTTTACTTTTTTTAGGTTTCATTTCTGATCAATTTGGCATTAAATGATGCTTGCTCTTTAAGTCATATTATTGCTGTGGGTAAATTGCTTCAACCAGATTCACTTTCAGGCTTGGCATTCTTATGAAATCTTTGAGACATGTTTTTCTTAATTTGTTACAGCTTAAGTGAATACAATGATAGCGTGTAGAAGTCCTAGGTCAGACATTCATGCTTTTAATGAATTGGTTTCATTGCTAGATGCTATCCTTCTCTTTATTTCTAGTAGGCATGTGTTGTTTTTCGGCAATTATTTTGGTAACTAGTTTGTGCCTTTTTCTAATTGAAAGTATCTATTTTCCATTTCCTAGTAATTCTGCTGTGCCTTTTCAGTCGTGATTTGTACTAATTTGAATTATCAAAATTCTGAAAGTTGTTGCTTCTTGACAGAATCTTGATACTGGCAATCCATCTGAAAATGCTAACCTTCCATTGAACTTCTATCATGGGGAATCAAGCAACCATGTTGAATATTCAGGGGAGTTCATTGAAGACAATCAAAAGCCACTGGGCAATATGTCCGAGAATGCAATCCTACCATCCAACTTCTATTATGGAGAATCAAGCAACCATGCTGAACATTCAATGGAGTTCAGTGAAGATTATCAGAATTCTACTTGCATGCATGCCACCGAAACTGATTCAAGGCCATATCATGAGCTTGTGGTCTCTGATTTCCCTGAGACAAATGAGATAGCCACAAATGTAAAACCAGTTAAGGATGAATATGTGCTTGAATCAATAGAAAACTTCAATGCTGCCAACAATAACTATTTGTTCGAACAGCCTTGCCTGGATGTTAATGATTATCTTCCAACCAATGATGGTTTTTTCCTGGAAGCTAATGATCTTTCAAACCCCATTGACCCAGAATCTGAACTTTTTAACCTTGATGAGTATCTCACATTTGCTGATGCTGAGGACCAGCCTCTAATTTTTGATTCTGATCAAATGGTGGGAAGTGCGATCCCTGTTTCTGGCCAAGGACCTCTTGCCCAAACGGTACATAATTCTTTCCTGTCTTCATTTCTTGCCTTAGTACATGCAGGGAGATTTTTTTGCAGCTTCTAGTTAACTTATTGCATGATAACAGCATTCAAATGGAGGAACTGAACAAGTGTCTAATGCAAGTGATGCATCCTCTTCAAAGCAAGAGCTGGAGGCCTCAAAATTTGAACCTGGTAAGATGTTGGAAATATCTAGCTCTTAATGCCTTCTTTGTAAGTTACATTTCAACATTTGTATTCATTTGGGCTCACTTTTGGTGCATTCTTCATGATATAGGTAGCAAGTATCCATTTATGAAACAGGCCAGTCGCATGTTGGGTAGCTTTCCTGCTCCTCCTGCATTTGCCTCTGAGTTCCCTTCAAAAGATGCAGCTCTCAAGCTAAATTCTGTGGCACATGCTTCCAGTTCTGCTCATGTTATGGCTGGCATGATAAGAGTAACAAACATGACTTCATCTGGCAATCAGTTGAACTGGTCATATGACAAAAATGGAAATATCAGCTTTGTTCTTTCTTTTAGCTTGCCACGAGGTGATATTAACTCTTCCAGTTTTCTACCAATGGCTAACCTACTCTCGGGCAAGTCGGCATCTGTTGTGTCCAGAGGGTGGATCTTCTTGATGTTATTTTGGGTCCTAATTATATCTGTGAGTTTGAAGTTTGGGGCCTGTATCTATACAAGGTAACACATGCTCAGTAGGGTTGGCTATGATTCACCCAACACATCAATTGGTTACAAATGTTGGGTGGTAGGATAGAAGGATGGTTATGGTTCATCATTTATTTTCTTGTTTTATGATGATTGCCAAAATGATAACGTATACCTTTATTATTTCATTATAGTCCATAAGAATTGCTCACTTTATATAGTTGTAAGGTAATACATCATATAGGGACAAAACTCTGGGTTTGTAAGCTATATCATACAGCAATTGCTTGGTTGCTTCTTTTCCTAAATACCCTTTTTCATCATATTTGTGTGTAATGTGCTTAGCTCATTTATTGTTAAAAGCTGACTATTATGCTTTCCTATTATGATTTTCCTGCTCATTAGCAAGTGTTTGTCTTCAAGTTTCTTGGAATGGTCACATTCCATAATATGCATGGGTTTAATTTATGCTTAATTGATGTAGCGTTTATGTTTTAATAATTTATTTTTTAATAATTAGTGTCATGTGTAAAAAATAATACGAAAAAACAAATTGTCTTCAAAGTTTGGTTTCTTACATCAACCAAGACTTAGTTTTGTTGTGTGGGTTTTTTATTACTGGTTCAGAATATTTTTCTTTTACAACCATTTACGAACAAGAGTTTCATTCCTAAAATGTTATTGACACTAACGACTCAGGTTACTTTGGCAAGAAATAGGTTATCACTTCTCACCAACTACTATCATTTTGAAATATTATCCAATTGAAATGGGTGAAAAAAAAAATTTGTTGGCAAATTAAGCCTTCACTCTAGGGTTCATTGCGAGGTCAGAGTAATAAAAGGGATAATTGTAAACTAAAAAACGATAATACAACACTGAAAAAAAGGAAAAAAAAAATAATTTAAAATTTTAACAAACAATTAATTGCTATAATACAATTAATCTTATTAAAGAATAAACGGAAAAAATACTTATCTTTGTAGCAATCACTTGATGTTAGATCATATCTTTTTGGTTACCTTACAAAATCAGAATGAAAAAAAAAGTTGTCATAAATTGATGCAAATAAAAATATTAGGTAAAATAAAAAGAAAAATATAAAAGCAAATAGAAGGAAAAAAAAAATAAAACCTGTAAAAACAAAAAAGTCAAATCTTAAGCAAAATTAGGAAAAAAAAATCAAAGATGATTGCATTAAAACCCATATTGTTGAACCCTACTCAAGTAATATATTTTGCAAACTTGTAACAAATACAACAAAAATAACAAAAATAAATAAATTTCAATTCACACAAATCTATATGAGGATCACATATCTGCAGCATGAAAAAAAAAAAAAAACACATCAATATACAAATAGAAATACAAAATCAAATGAAGAACAAAAAAGTCAGTGAGAACAAAAAATTAAAAAAAAAAAGACCAAAACAGTTGAAACACATCAATTTTTTTTTATAAAAAAGTAAGTGATTTAGAATTTTTTGGTTAAATTTAAGAAGGTTTTTTTTGGTTAAAATCCAAATAGAAAAGGTGAAAGAAAAAGGAAAGAGGAAGAAACGTTATCTTTCTAACCTTTTTCATTACTTTATTTGATCCCAATTTCCCACACCAACCGCGTTCTTTGCGTCATATCCAAAACTGCCCACCAAAATCAAATCAAGCCATTCAGTACCAAAAAAAAAAAAAAAAAGAAAAGAAAAAGAAGGTGAAAGATGGGCACCAACTTTCGTCATTTTTTTCGTCAATCTCAGTCGCTATCCCATGATCTCTTTTTTTTTTCGCCTTTTTAAGAGATAAATAGCCTTAAAAAGTCGAGGTTGGTAAATAAGAGTAGATATATATCTTGATAGATTTTATTAATATAATATATATAAAATAAATAATATCTATATATGATATATATATATGAGGGAGATGAAATACCAGAATCTCAAATTGATTTCCATTTTATTTAAAAACATTGACTCGATTTTAAATTTAAAAAATACATATATTGAATTGGAGTGAATAACAATCGATTGGATATTAGTTGATTTTTTTACCAAATGCATGTATTTTATCATGTCTAGTTTTATATATATATATATATAATAAAGCTAATTAAAAAATTAAAACAAAAAAGCATAAAAAACCCAAATTAAAAAGATTTAAAAGATTAGAAAAAAAAAGATAAGGGTGTGACGTGGACATCCCAACATCCTCAAAATTTTGTAAAATTTATAGATAGATAGATAAATATATATATATATAAAAGGAAATAAAAAATATAATATAAAAATAAAATAGCGAGGAAAGTGTACGAAATCACCAACATTTCACTAAATAAAAATAGAAGAAATTAAAAAAATAAAAATAAAAAAGATTAAAAGGATGTTAGTAGACATCCCCTCAAGTAAAAAGTCTAAAATATTAAATGTATAAATAAGTAACAAAATATATATTTTTATATATACTCAAAGCAAAATGAAATCTTTTAAATTTAATTTCGATCCAAGTTGAATATTTAAAAATGATTTCGATCCAATCTTGAATTAGGATAAATCAAATTTATTGGATATTGATTATTTTTTAATTTTTATTTTTATTGATTTTTTTATAAAATTTATTTAATTAAAAAATAAAATCAAATATATGAATTGTAAAATGAAAATTTTTAAGCAAATTAAAAAAATAAAAAAATGAAGGCACTACATAGACACCTTCCCATGCTTAAAACTCTACAAAATTTGTTGTCTGTATTTATCTAATAAAAAAATTCAAAAACTAAAAATATTTGAAAAAAAAAAGTTTAAAAAAATAAGAAAAAATATGACACATGGACATACTAACTTTATTCCAATCCATACAACTTCTATTATATGAATTTGTTGTTACTGGTTTAGTACCTACGAATATGCTACTCATGCAACAAGCAATGTAAGCAAAAGTATACATATATATATATATAAGTAGCGAATTAAAATTAAATAATTATTTAAATCTTAATTATTTTATTATAATCATTTAAGAATTTATTTGAATGAGCGATAATATCAACTTTAGTCAAATTAAAATAATAGTAGATATGAGATGAGTTATTATAATAATGATATTAAAATTAATTATGAGATATATGTTTAGATATAAAAATAATTATGACAACAAGATAAATTATAAAGAGAAAAAAATGACTATTAAAAACATTGACTAAAAATTATATGTAATAAAAAATTAAATTTATTTAATATTTTAAAATTAAAAATAATAGATAAATATCAAATTACTTTTTAATTAATAATAAATTTAATAATAAATAATTAAATTTTATTTATTAATTTATTATAAAATAAAATTTATTTTACATTAAGTTAATAAAATTACTTTATAAGTTTTAAGGAAAAATCAAAATAGAAAAATAAAAAATAAATGTAAAATATTGAAGTTATTAGCTTGAAGGGAAGAAGTGAAAAAAAAAAAAAAGAAATAAAGCAATTGCATTGAGCCACTGGAAGTTCTGTCTCTGGTGAAAATTTGACTGCACCGTTATATTTTTTGGATTTGTAAGTTGTGATTGGCACAAATTTTCATAACTGCACTTTTATTGCTATCGGATATACATTTCAAGCTAACCCCACCTAAAGTCTTTAAATATTTATCTTCACCGATTGAGTTTTTATTAAATAAAAATTGAATAATTGTAAATATTTATTTTTATCTAATTAAAAATTTAATTGGATGAAAATAAATATTTAAAAATTCATTTATATCAAATTAAAAATTTAAAGATCTAAGTAAATGAAAAATAAATGTTTAAAGTATCAATTGAACGAAATAAATCTGTAGGGTTTGAATAATTATTTGGTAAAGGGCGTTTTTTATATTTAAGCCAACAATGTAATATACATGTGATTTTTCATTTCCTTCTTTCTTTTGTCCAACAGCTGATTTATGGTAATGAACAAATAATTGGAAGATAAGGCTCTACCTGAATTTACATTTCTCCAGGAAGCATTGCATCCTCAGTTATATCACAGGAAGCATCAACCTAGAAAAGAGAAGAAACAGATTTAAATCATTGATACGTTGTTTTCAGCAATGGAAAAAATAATATGGATTTTAACTTTAGAGTTTAGATCAATTGATTTATATAGTGAAACTTAGATCAATTAATTTATATAATTATTTTTAAAAAATAATATTTATCAAATATAAAATTTAAGTTTTAGTATAGACAATCGAGACTTAACTTCTAAGCTTGTAATTTTAAAATTTAAATATATACTCATCCGATATTTTAAATAAATTTAATGATCACAATTTATATATTTATAAGATATTATTTATTCTGATTTCTTTAATTTTACGATTTTATTTTTTTTTATTTTGATTTTTCTAACTTTATAATTTTATTTTATAAAAAATATTTATTTCTAACTTTATAATTTTATTTTATAAAAAATATTTTAAAAAAAATTAATGTGAATCTTTTAATATGATAACCCTTTTATCATATCTTATGTGAGATTTAAATATCTCATTTACTCTCTTTTAAAACATTTGACGTGACATTAGCACGTCCAATCTTTTCCCTTCTTCTCAGGCTAAACCTCTTTTTTATAAAAAAATTAATACGAACTTTTGTTATTTGAAATTTACCTCCCTATACATCTCTTCTCAGCTGTCAACTCCGTCCCGTATGCCTTAACCAAGAGCGATACTTAAAGCCTGGGGACGTCTGATTGTAAGCCTGTGATACTAAAGCCCTGGGGACGTCAGATTGTAAACATGATTGATTGGTGCAGCCCGAATACCTGCCAAGCCCAGTGGCTTTTCTGATCTCTCGAGTAACAAAAATTAAAAGCAAGCCATCCTATGCAGATAAATTGTTTGAAGAAATTCCTATTACACATTGAAACATGTAAACATTCAGTTTGCTTTCCAAGTTCCATTCTAGAAACGGAAAGACACAAAAGCTTAAAACAAAAACATGGATTACATGTTTTTATCCATCTGCACATATCATGCCATACCGTAGAAAACAAAAGAACAGTTCTGTAACTACCATGACGAATCCCAACTCCAGAATTTGCTATAGAAAGCGACCCAAGAACCTCCGTTGTCTGCGCACCAAACGTTCTCCTCAATTTGGCATCAACGTATTCTTACAGAAGCCTACAATTGGAAATGACACGACTGACACGCAAAATAGACTTAGTTACTGGTCATAATAATGATTCACGGAACAATGTTGTTTGGGAATTAGATGAGATCGAAGCCAAAATTTCTCGGAAGCCTGGAAAATTAGACAGAGAGAGTCCTATAACTCTC